GAACATCTTCTTAAATCCTAAAGTTCTAACAATTTAATAGTACCTAAATTAATAAGTTATTGAATATTGTAATAATAGTATAATTAACCTTGTAATTGATTACTTTATTTTACTTTAATTCATATTAATTTGTATTTATAAATACATCTTTAAGATTTCCGATGTAGGAATGAGTTTTCAATAATAATAAAGCACTAAATAGGTAAATTTCTGAAATGACAACTATGATGACAACTTCATTTGACAGTTATCTTTTACCTTGACTGGTGCTCATAAGTAAATACAGGGCCATAAGAAAGGAGAAATATTTAAAAAGAAATCGGCTTAGGGAAGCCAATAATTGACCCCATTAAAATTTACATGGGATTTCCTATGTCCCGTCCGATGATGCAACACCCGGTAGATGGTCTCCCATACAATCTGCGATCTCTGCAAAAATATAGACAGTAGGTTCCTTAAATCGTTTTATTTTTGCTGAAACTCGATGTATCAGTTCCTATCGACAAACATTCTTTTTCTACATACTTCTTTGCTATTTTTTTAGTTTTTTTTAGTAGTTCGTCGATTTTCCATCGACAGGATGGCGTGCAGCGGCTACTACCGTACCATCACGTCCTTCTCGATCGTTTCTCGCAACAATTACCCACTTCTCCCGCCCAACGCTTCCGAGACTACCGGAAAGTAGTACCAAGTACCACCTAATTATTGGCATCTCGCCGCGACTCCGCCAGCCAAGGTCTCACTCATCTCCGACGCGAAGCCTATCATTACGCGCTTTTTTTCTCCTCTTCTCTTCTATATATGTTCGGCTCGCCGCACCAAGCGAGCAACGGCAGCAGTACCAGCTTCTTTCTTCCATGGAAGACGGAAAAAATCGAAAAAATAAATTAAATTGGACGATGAAATGAGATGAGGGTGGGCGCGGAGTGAGGGGACAGGTAAACTTCATTCTTCGGCGAGTCCATTGATGTGTGGGCAGATACACATACACACGGACACATGCTGGGTTATTTAGTGCGATTAAAGATAATTGTATATACGGCGTGAAAGGAAAGAACAGTGGCGTGTGAACTGAGGGTAAACCATAGGGACAAAATCAGAAAAAAAAACAATCAGCCATCAGTCACAAACCGGTCAGAAATTCGTCATACAATAGTAAAAAACCAGTCAGAAATTAGTCAGGAACCGGTCAGAAATCAGTCAGGAAACCGTAATAAATCAGTAAGAAACCAGTACAGGAACTAGTATTAAAAATTCACATATATAATAAGTCTTATTTTACACTTTTATCACCCATTTTCATACAAATTTGGCAATTTTAAGTATTCATATGTGATTTATGAATCATATCCTTAAAAATCTTTAATTATAAGGGATAGTAGGAGTCTGGCACAATGTCTAACTTAAAGAAAACTGGTAGACAGCATGTTCCATTATTGATAGCTTGGAAAAATAAGTAAAAATGTATAGTTTTTAATTTATTGAATATTTCAATAATGATCTCATGATGATACTTATAAAAAATAAAAAATACGGCTCAATTTTCGTTTAGCTGAAATCTGTTATATAAAAAATGACTTTATATATGCGTTCTAGAAGGCGTTAGGAGTATAAATATACACTACTGGCAAAGGAATATTAGCAATAGGAGGTTTTCAATGCGATAAAAAAAGATGGTAAGGCTGCAAAATACACTGCAGTGCAACAGAGACGGATAAAGTGTTTTTTCCCTATCATCGTATAGGGGAAGTGATCATAGAAGTGATACGACGAGAGAGCCCCTGCGAGAGGGGGCACCGGGCGGGTCTTTAAGACGCTTGTGTGGGGGCTACCGCCTACTAATAGAACAGAATCGAAAAAATAGAAACAGGACGGACAGTGTTGCCATTCAATTAAATCGAAATTATGTTGGCTTGTCAAAATCCTAAATCTTCTAATCCCATTATCTTGCCTACTTAATGAAATATTAAATAAAGTACGAAACAATTTTAGGAATGTTTTCTCTAGGCACATAACTTCTTTCTAAAACGAAAAGTAACATGCAAAACTTTGATATCATTTCTAAAATAGCAAGTGCAATTCTATGAAATGGCAATACTGTACGATCTTCCTAGCAGTCGCCCCGACACAGTCGGTCAGCGGCGGCGCTTGACAAAGCCGCGGCTGTGACAAAGGAATTAGGCCGAAAAAAACTTTATAAAGAGTAGCCGAACAGGGTTGCCGGGTTTGTTAGATTATAATTCCATACGAGAACAAAATTCTCGGCAGATCTTCAACAAAAATTAAAAGTACAGAAACGAAATAAAATATAATATTTAACTCCAAAATTAGCATTCCTATGTGTCGTAATAATAGATCACTCAAATAAAATACAAATATAATAAATATAACAAGAATTAGAAATCGTTAGGTATATTATTTGATATTAAAAAAAATATTGAATTAAATAATATTAATATATTATTAAAAACATCTAAAACTATAATAAGTAGGGATAGCAGTCACAAATTAGTGTAGCAGTCACTTTTTACCTTTGTACAAATTTTGATCAGTAATATCTAAAATTAATTTCATTTCAATGGGAAAGCTGTAGCAACTCTCAACTCTTTTTTCGTATTAATATATTTTTTTGACGGGAAAATCACTAAAATATTTGTCCGAATTTAGGTTGTTTCTTAACTTAAATTTTGTTTTTTGTTTACATTTTTTGGGGGAAAATATGGGTTCAACTTTAGTAGATGAACTTCTTCGGGCATGTCGCCAATACCGCGCCTAATAAGGAGTAATAAGGATTTTTAGGAATATCTCTGTAACTCTGCAACTAGACAGAACGATGACCTGTATGTGTGTTATTACTAAATAAAATTTAATGAAACAATAATAAAGTCAGATTATACAGATTCCAACGTGGCAGTCGCTTATTTTTAGTCAAATAAGTCTGCTTTTAAAAGTGCTTCTATTGTAAAACTAAAGACGCAGTTGAATATATCGTTAGATTTTCTTTAAATCGGTAGATCGGTAGCTTACAGACGAAACCGGTAGACCTGGCAACTCTGTGATGAACTGACGGGAGTCGGAATAGCGAGGTGCGGAGGCGCGGGAAGGGAAATAAAATAATGGCGATAAATAAAGGGCAGGGAGATGGGTATCATGAGTGGATGGGAGGTGGCGGAATTTCCAAAATTTGTTATCTTATTGGAGTTTGTCTAAGTAGACAGTCGTAGTGGAAGTGGAAACGGGGAGGTTGTTGTCCATCTCTGTTTAAGCATAGACTTTTTATAGGCGTTTCATTCCAATGCATGTCATTCCTATGCCTAGAGATCCATTGCCGGGCCTGTATACAAAAATTTTCCTGCGGAAACGCGTCATTTTCATTTTTCGGACTTTAGTATAGCCGAAATCTGTTACATCAAAACTAGTCTTCGGGATGTGTTTTAGACACTTTTCTAAACATAAAAACACAAAAAAGTGTCTGCGGACATTTTTGATTTTTATTTTACATAAAAAACGCTTTGACTTTAGGATAGCCGAAATCAGTTACATGAAAAATGAACTTATATTTGTTTTATACGAGCTTTTACGAGAGAGCAAAAAAAATAAAAAAGAATTCCTGCGGAAATGTGTCAAGGTCATTTTGTGCACTTTGTTTTTCATACATTTTTCAGTTTAGAAGCTTACGGGACCCGGGAGCGAATAGGGGTGCTGGGTGGGGTAAAACATCTTTCGGAGGAATAACAATTCTTGGAGAATAGATAATATAGGTTCTTGTAAACTATAGTACCTCGGAATGTTACACTTATTCTTGTTTTTTATTAAAGCTTTACGTAAATAGGGCTGATTCAACACAAAAAATCATTGGATCGTGCAGTTTTCTTTCATATTTTAATAATTAACTGTGATTTTGCAAAAATATTAGATTGGTTAGCATTTGGGTTGCTTTGGTTAGCTTTTCTTTGTGGAGGTTGTTAAGCTGTGGTTTTTATATTTTAATAATTAACTGGGTGATTTTGTATAAAAATATTATTACATTAGTTAACATTTTAGACACTTTTAAATGATTTTTTGGGGTTCAAAAGTGCTTGATCCAAGGATTTTTTTCTTTTAAACGGTTTTATAAGCATAGGACTTCCTGGCGAAAAAAAATGCTAAATTCGTGGGTTGGGAAAATGAAAATCAAGCATTTCCGCAGGAAATTTTTTATTTTCCTGAGTTTGTAAAGGCTTCTAAAACGCCAAAATATATTTATTTTTTATATAACTGATTTCTAAAGCTATTCTAAAGTCTAATAAATTTCCTTAGAAAATGAAAACAGCTTATTTCCGCAGGAAAATTTTTATGTTTATATGTTCGGAAAAATATTAAAAATAAAACACAAAATGTATTTTTTTATAGCAGATTTCAGTTATTCTAAAGTGCGAAATTTGGAAATTACGCAGGAAAATTTGTATTTTCCGTGGTTCACAGTAGCTTTTTAAAGACAATTTTTTTTTCTAATAACTGATTTCAGCTAAACGAAAATTGACCCAAAATACTATAAAAAACGACATTAGAGCTAAAATAAATTAATATTATAAAGTTTTTTACATTCTTTATTTTAAAAATTAAGTGTCTAGTCGAGATACGATATCAAATTGCATAAATTATAGTTAATAAAGCTCTAAGCAGGTAGATTGTTTATCAAGGACCTAATAAACTATTCGGTGGAGAAATGAAACGGTGCCTTCTCTAGAAATATTCCAACAATTTTTTCTCGAGAAGCATATAAAGAGTTAAGAGCCATAAAATCGGAACCCTAGATAAAAAAGATTAATGTTTTCTCTTAATCTGTGTTGTTAAAAATTTGTAAGTTCCTTCTAATATGTTTTGGAATTTGTTCTGGAAAAGACATTAAAATTCTTAACGACTTAATAACGAAATTAACTGCTTTTTATTTAAAAAATTTTCTTTATTTTTTCACATGAAGTATTTCCTATATAAAAAATATAATTAAAACAATATATTGAACATTATTGGTAAAAGTAGATATTTTATTTTTTAATCTCACTGTTTCATTTATCAATATTATTTACAAAAATATTTTGGTCCAATAAATATTTGCTATCAACTCCTGAGAAGTATTAACAATATTGGTAATATCACACACAATATGGCACTATTTCTCAACCTATCACTGGCATTACACAGATCACTATCACAGTAACAGTCCTCGATATCTGTTCGTCTTTCACCAAAACTTTCCACCTTTCTGCATCCTCTTTTATAAGCGTTACCCACCACGTATTCTTCCTGATAAAATCCAGCGCTGGGATCGAAATTTTGGCCTCTGTATAGCTGAGAGGCACATCCTCTTTCAACCCTCACGAAATCCTCCTTGTAGAAATGGTTTTTTGAGGTCCTCTTGTAGCAAAATGTTGAATGAGGGCACTCGACGATGAATTTGTTAGAATAGTCGAAGTCCTTGCATGTCAACACTGATTTATTATCTGTAAAATCAAAAAAATCACTGATTAAATTTATGAAAATATGACTAAAATATGTTTTTGTTAAAATTTTAGGGCACTGACATTGTAAAAATCGTCACTTTGAAAAAATCTAGGGTGGCTGTGTGACCTTTTGTTATGTGACAAAAATTAGCTAGATGAAATCTAATTGGTGAAAATAAAATAAATAGAATGAAATCAATTCTCTCTGATGTAGGATAAATTTGCACTTTCGGCAAATTTCTGAGAATTTTTTTTTGTTTTAACTGACACAAAATGATAACTAGTTGTTAAAGTTGGACTAATTAGACAGCTATGTTGAAGTAACGTCAGACATCACACCCACCTAGATTTTATCAAATAATAAAGATCTACTCAGATCTAATCATGTAAATGAAAATATCTGGAAAATCTTTGTTTGAGGGTAGGCAACCTTAATAGTATTTTGAAGCGACATGAATTCTCCATCGAATATCGGAATAATATACAGGGTGTTCCATTTAAAATACAAGAGTAACATGCCTTTAAAGGTGACCAATGTTCAATATTAATTTTGTCTCACCCTGTATAACATTTTGGGTCAAGTTTTAATTTGATTTAAAGTACACTAGTTAATTTAACTACATATTAGGCTACACCGGGTAAATTCCAATTTAGGTAGCTTTTACTGTAATTTAAAAATTGTTCTTTATTTATAGAAAAGGTTAAAAAAAAAAGAAAATTTTAGTCATATACTTCTCTTATAGAATCCGAAAATCAATTAATATATAGGGTGTTCCGTAACAAAAAACACAATTTTGATGTATAATTTTTTTTTGTGGACACCCTGTAGAACTCTCTATATTTTTAAAAAAGGTTCTAAATTAACCTAAAAACGCTGACAAAATTTTATTTCAATAAAAACTGTCGTTCTCCTTGGAGCCTCCGCGGCATATGAGAGGCGCCACTCTGTACAACTTATTGCAAGACAAAAATAACTATAAATTATTTTACCTGTGATGTAGTACGGATGCTGAACCATATGACACTGAAAACATCTCAAACCGCTCACTTCATACACTACGTAAAACTGTAGCACTATTGAAAGAAGAACAAATTTATGCATTGTTTACAAAACTAATAAATTTAAAACTAATTAAATAGTTGATAATCTCGCGTCACCCACATCTAAACCATTCTCGATACAAAAGTTAAATGTTCGTAAATAAAAAACGAGTTTGCTACGTTGTTTGCATTTTACTTTAACTTTTAAGAGGTCAGGGTCGGACCCAAGGAGGTGTATTTTGAAATGTAGTATTCGTAATATCATTAATGGTTATTTGTTTCTATCGGTACTATTACGTGCTACTATTACACATATTTACATACAAAAAAAAGCAACGGTTTATTGTACAAAAAGCTAAAACAGCTTCATCGACAAAGCATTCACAAAACAAAAAAGCACAAAAACAGATATACAAATAATAAAAAAATGTCATACAATACAAATCAATTCAAAAAAATGTACGTCGTTAAAATTACAAATAAAACATATATGGATTAGCGATGGGAACTATCGAATGAATTAGACTATAGAATGGTTACTGAATGAATGATTTCAACTATCGAATGGTTTTTTTTATTCGAATACAATCATTCATTCATTTGTATACTAAAGCATATGTGACAACCTCGCCGTGCGACTAAATGGTTATCGTTGAGCCACGACTATCGAATACTTTTGATAAATGAAAAATGAAATTTAGTATTCTTTTGATTTTTGTGTGCGTCAGTGCATTATTAGTTCTTCCAAATTTTTATAACTTCACCTTATAAATACTGTGCTATTTTTGCGTTTATTAAAATATTTAAAATACTAAAATAGTAGTTTTTTTTAATTGACCATTGTGTGCGTGTCCAGGTGTCAAAATTTTTCCGAAAATTTGTGTGATTTTCCGTAGCCCGATCTTCCAATTATTTTATTTTATATGGTATATATGGTCTATTTTTTAATGGGAAATTTTGAAAAGTAGCAATTTTTAAGAGAGATGAGATGAACTTGAAGTTTTACACGTGCCAATTTAAAAAAAAAGTTAACGATGTTTGTATTTTGTTTATGCTAATTCTCTTACATGTAGTTTTTTGCGAAGAAATATTTCATTTATTTTTTAAAGTAAATGCCAGTAAAAGTAAATATTATTTTTAAATAATAATATAAAGTGCCTAATATAAATAATTTTTATTTCTAATTTTTTATTTATATTTTCCTTCCATTACACTGCATCCTTAGAAAATTAATAAATGTTTATATTTCATGATGTTAAAGTTTGTTGTTAATATAACAAATTAGTTTTGTGATTATTATTATTTAATAAACCAACGTTGCCAAAAAATTTAAAGACTATATTATTTTTAAATAGGATCTAATATAAATAATTTTGACATCTAATTTGTTGTTTATATTTTGCTACTACGTAAAAAAAATATTTATATTAAATTATTTTAAATTTTGTTGTTAATAGGTATAACAAATTATTACTGTTATTATTATTTTTATTAAACCAGTCTTTGCTTAAAAACATTAAAAATAATTTTCCTACACCCAAAATAACAAGTATTATTGCAGTGTAACAACAGAATATTAATAAAAAATGCAAAATATATAGAAATACTATTCCTAACTAACTAAAGCCAAACAATATTCTTTGCTAATATCAACTAATACCAATATATGGCAACAGCGCCCTTCATAATGTATTTTTTGTGTAAATACTAGCACCTCAATAAAAAAAATAATGTGTCCTTATCTTTATATGACTCCGCAAAAAATCAAATCAAAGATGCCGGCTTCTTTCATAGCATTGCCACCGACCGCTGTCGGGTTTCTCGGAAAGAAACCTACGTCGCCGGGCGACAACTAAAATCCAGTTAATATTTTATTATAATCGATCCTGACGAATAAATGAATTTCATAAATGAATGTATTTTATAAATGAATGGTTTTTGCTGCCGAATTACTAGAATACAATATTTCAAGGCAGATGACGCATCTATTCGATAATTTTTATTCGAATAGTTTCAACGAATGAAATTTTTTACTAGCTATCGAATTATTCGAATGAGTTGCAACTATCGAATGTTTCGATAGTATTCATTCGATAGTTCCCACTACTAATATGGATATTAAAATAATAATAATATATAAATAAAACTGTAAATGGATAAAATCATGTTATATATTATAAAATCAAGAGTTATAAAATATTAAATATTAAATACTAGACCTTTAACCAGTGTGTGAGATGATCAAAATTTTAAAATTCAAAATTGTTCATGATTAAATATCAACAAAAAAGTCGTATACCGGATATAGGGCTCTCTCCAGTAAGTATAATTTCAGAGCTTTGCGAAATGCGGGAAAGAATGAAAGTGACTTGATATTCAAAGGCAAATGATTGTACATTTTCTTGGCATTGTAACTAGTTCTGAGCTCGGGGTTTGCAGATAAATATTGTGCTCCGCATTCCTAAGTGGATAGTTGTGAGAAGGCCTTTCCGGAATAGCAGATATGTGCTTGCGGATTAAGCAAACGGATTCAAAAATGAATAAGGAAGGAAGAGTCAGTATTTTGAAATTTTTAAAGAAATTCTGGCAGTGAGTTCTACTATTCAGTCCCAATTAGTATCGAACTGCTCTCTTTTGAAGTTTGAAAATACGATCAAATTGTTCCTCAATGCACTATTATTTAGCAGTATGCAGTTATGCAACCAGTAATACACCTTGACATTGCCCCCTTCTCAAATTTGATCGTCCCGATCAAGGTTTCCTGTCTGGTATCTCTTCAATCGATCCAGATGAACTACTTTCATCCCACTTCTGATACCAATTGTTACGGATTCCGTGGGTCCACTATTTAAACTCACGATAAAATACTTAACGAATACTTATAATTCTAATAAAAATAGATAAGTATTTATTAACACAAACATCCGATACGCTACTGAAGCAGGTAAGTCAAATTAACGTATCAAATTCTTTGACATCTGATCTTTGACAAGTAGTGAATAAAAGCTAAAATGCAAGAAAATATATAATTTAGTTAATTTAAGTGAATTTCATAAATGATCGGTTTACTACATGTATGTATATTATATAGTCACTTACTAGCGAAAAGTTGTTCCATTATTTCACTCAATTTTTTCCGAGATCTACCGCACGCTACACAACCAACTATTTTAGAGTTTTTTTCGATAAATCGCGATAATGTCACTGTTAATTTAAGTTCTGCCACAATTTCCATCTACATTTACTACCTTTATACAACTATCAGTAGTAGAATAAATAATAAATAACATAAAATAAGCTCTGTAAAGACTGACAAATCCACAAAATTTCAAATCAAATTCAAATGTGTCAAATGAATCGTCAAACAGAACTGTCAAGGATCCCCACCCTAGAGTGCTTTTTCCGCCCACCATGCATGAATACATGGATAGCATTATGCTCCTTCCTTAGTCTTCTTATTCAAAGATCTGAACAAAGTTACTTGAAAAAATAAATAGTACGTCTCTGTACAATGTACCGAAGATATTTTGCCTTGTAGGATATATTCATAGAAATATGATTATCACTCGAAATGACACAACCGATCACACCATGACTCACCGGAGGTAACTAGACTACTGCTGGTTTATTTTGTTACACTATAATTTTATAATTAATAATTATTACATTTATCAGACATTTATGCACTATAAATACCGTTGTTTATTACACGGTTTTATTAGTAAGCGTTAATTAAGAAATTAAAAAAAACTACAATACGGATCGTTAGGTGACGACATATTTGGATTTATGTTGGTTACAAGATGTTAAGGGTGAAAGGGCAGATCTAGGTATCATTATGATCTAAGGTTATAAAGGGTGGTTTTGAATAAGTATCTCATATTTTACAGGGTGAATTTTTCAAGTATTTTTAAGGAAAAAAATTGAAATAAACATATGTCCTAAAATGCTTAGTTTTCGAGATACAGGGTGTCAAAATTTTACGAAAATTTTTTTTTTCTCACAATAACTTGCTTGAACTGATATACATATTTTTGTGAAATTTGGTACACGTTTTTTCATCATTAAGGGGCATTTTTCGGTGAAAAATATTTTTCCAAATATTTACCAATTGCCCAGTATTTTGTACGATTTCTTCTGGTTGAAACATTTTCACTGGCATTTTGTTTCTCTTACAAATGTATTCTTCGTTCTAACCAGACTATACACACCTTATGCGTGTACATTTTTGTATACATAATACAACACTTCCATTCTATAAGCTGGTTGTCAGGTCCACCTATCTCTTTCTCTGTCCCTCCCGTTGGTTAATGGCGCGATGATTAAAAGTTAATAAATAAACATGGATAGTGGGCATCGTGCTGGTAAAATAGATCGCATGAATATTAATAAAACTGATGGGTTTAATGAATATTTATACAGAGTGTCAAGTGCTGGGTGGCCCCCGTCCCGGCTACGTACGTTTATTTCCACCGGAGATTTTTAAATTGACTTTTTTCTCTTCTTGCTTCGGCGTCTCGACTCTTCTTAATTTCGTTGCCTGATTGACGAATCGACTGTTTAAATCGTTTAACAGTTGTGTACTTTGGGTAAGATGGATCTGTGAAATTGATTTTGTGGGAAAAAGTTAGTTTGGCATTGTAGCAAAAATGTTTTCTCCAAAAAAAATCCAGTGATACAGGAATCTAAAAAAAGTTTTTTTTACACTGATAAAAAAGATAGTACCTACGTGTAATTTTTTTCTCATTTAATATTTTATAGGACATACGGTATATTTAGTCGAAGGTTATTACAACTTTAAACATAAATAAAACAGCGAAAAGCAAGAAAAACAGTTTCTCGATTAACAACAATATGTACGAAGAATAAAAAAAATAATTGTTTTTCAAAGAATTTGGTTTAATTAAATATCGTAAACACCCATTATTATGATATTTGCAATTGAAATTTATGCAAAATGCCTTACTGAAATCTGTGTATAAAATGATTCTGCACAAGTGGCAGACCTTCAGACAAAATCTGAAGCTTCTTCTGATATATTCACTTGCAGCCCAACATTCTAGAGTAAGAAAATGATGGTTTTTGAAAAAGTCTTGTTTTTGACTGTGTCATTATTGGTTGTTGTGGCAAGTGTTTTGAGTTATCCACAAGAAACCACTGAGATAACTCCAAAACCAGCTGTATGGGTGAGTATCTGACTATAAGAATAAATTAATTCACTACTGTTTATAATTACAGAAAAAAATGAAATAGTTATAAAAAAAACAGACATCAAAATAATTAATTGTAGCCCAAAAAAATATTTGTAAAATAGTTATTTTTTATACAAGACGATAAAATGGTATCAATGAATTAATTTTGGGAGACGATAATGCAATTTTATCGTCGTGTATAAAACAATATTTTTTTCCATAGTTACCTTTTAAAAAATATTCAGAAATTATTATTTCAAGGAATTTATTACGAGAAGAAAAATTTGTGTTGGATTGGCGTTGGTTTCTATGTAATTTGACAAATAAATAAAGTTGTCTCTTTAGTTGCCAGTTTTGAGTCAATATTTTTTGATTCTCTTTCGTGTCGATTGCTGACTGAATTGGAGCCAGAAATGGCTGAAAACGAAATATATGTTCACATTAATAATATCTTTATACTCTATCTCCAGTAGTTTCCGAGATAACCATAGAGAACATCGTAGGAAACTCACCCTGTATAAGAAAGAAATATGCACAAACAAAAATACATTAATTAATAGCAATTAAAATATTGATAAATATTTCTTTTTATTAGTATGGTCCACCATCCACACCACGTATAGTAGACATTGCCAGCATCCCTTGTCCAAGTAAACAAAGAAGAGACTCACAAGGAATCTGCAGAGTACCTTTCAAATAGTACTAAATCTATACCACTTTATATATATTATCATTATCTATACATTTTGTAATACAGCACGTAAAAAAAAGTGTCTTTTTTTCATATAAATCATAGTCGTCAAATATCGACGTTATAGTGGTATTTGGAAATTTAGCAACTGTTAAAATTGCCTTATATCTATCTAAAATACTAGATAAAATAGTACTTTAACCGCAAGGGGTAGATTAAATGATACTTGAACAGCGAGGATAAGTTAAAAACTTTATTTTCTCTCACATGCTGTTTAATTGCTTCCATTTTTGAAAATTTTTGTATTCCTTTTCATAAGTTATTCAGGATTTAAATTGAAGTAGATTGGATATGGCGTTTGTCGCCTCAGCCTGAATATCTGTTGGTAATTTACTTATTTCGTTTTGAGCCAATTCTGGCTCCAATTCAATCAGCAATCGACACGAAAGAGAATTAAAAAATATTAACTCAAAACTGACAACTAAAGAGACAGCTTTATTTATTTGTCAAATTACATAGAAACCAACGCCAACCCAGCACAATATTTTTTTCCACTCGTGATAAATTCCTTGAAATAATAATTTCTGAATATTTTTTAAAACGTAACTCGCTATGGAAAAAATTATTGTTTTATACACGACGATAAAATTGCATTATCGTCTCCCGAAATTAATTCAATCTTTTCGATCGACGATAAAATAGCCATTTTATCGTCTTGTATAAAAAATAACTATAATTAATAGTAGGTAGTTAACAAATTCGCTGACATAAGAATAGATTAATTCTGTTTATTCGTGTATTTGTATTCAGAAAAGTGTTTTTGCTTATCTCATAAAATCATAGAAAATAATGCAGAAATAGTAACAAAAAGAGAGACAACAAAATTAATAAAATCTGCTTTAAATGCCCTGCTCTAAAAATTTAAAAGCCTTAAGAAAAGAAAGAAAGAAATGTGCACGAAACTGCTTATATTACTGATAAATATTGCTATACTTCATTTCATTTATATTAGAATGGTCCAGCAAGCATATCCCCAAGTGTTGCATATCCGCATATGACAAGTGCGAATTATTCAGAAGAAAGAACTAAAATCCCACCACAATATCCTGGATTGGTGAGTACTTCATCATAACAATAGATTCATTCAATATCCGTGTATTCGTATTCAGAAATATATCTATTATTTAGTTAATTATTAAATATTGCTATAATTTTTATTTCTTTTATATTAGAATGTTCCTTCAGACCAAGGGATGGCATTCGGTATCGCAAGCGTTCCCAATTTTCCTTGTCCTGGAAACCAAATAAGAGACTTACAAGGAAGCTGCAGAGGGTCTTATTAGTATCTACAGCATCATTTTGTAATATATCTATTATCTACACATTTTGTAATACATTACGTAATTTTTTTTTCATCCAAACTACAGTTCGTTAAATAACGGCGTCATGGCGGCATTTGAAATGGGAATCGATCGTTCAAAACATGTATTATCATCTTCATTTTTATTTTGACTTCCGTTTCAAATGCTACCGTGACGCTGTTTTTTTTCGATCGATTTGTACACATAGAATAAATTAAATAAGACCAGCTTAAACGGACACACAAAATCTTTTTTCTTTTTCACTTGTGTTAAATCTTCCATCGCAGCACAATTGCCAGTTTAATTTTCAAACCTGGAAAAAGACGTTTAATCTTTCCAAGCACACAAGTACTATCCAGAGGTGCTAAAATTACCTCCTTAACAATCCTACATATCCAAGAGAAAAAGGCTCTGGCTCAGAATAGAAACGATAAATTTCGTTTGGAGTGCTATTATTTATTTCTGTGTTTTTTCCTTTGGGCCTCCGATGCTTTTTATTCGCTCTGTGGATGCGTTTAGAGCTGGAGAACTATTCCAGAAATCTGCCGGCATGGCGCTGGATAATTGACATTTCGTGTCTATTTGCGGAGTGCAAAATAAAAAGGAGTTTGTTTCAGATAGTTATACGATATAATCAGGGATTTTTACAGGCAAGAAATTGTACATGATTATTTCCCTCATCGTAAAATGGACCAATCAGCTAATCTAATTTTTCGAATAAATTTTGTTTGTAAAACAACAAAATAAAATATACGTGTTTAAGAGTTTTTCCGAAAAACTCACCGGTTTTTAAATAAAAAATATTCAAATATTTGAGGGGTGGTTTCACCCTCTTAGAATTCGAGTTTCAAAAAATCCCTTCTTATCGAACCTCTACACCCTAAAGTCAATCCGTTTTCCAAAAATCAGTTTTCTACGTCAAGCGCTTTAAGCAGGATCGTGATTAATCGATGACCAGATTTTTCGAAACACCCTGTATACACTTTTAAAAAATCTTAAAATATGTAAAAAATAATAAAATATACTTGTTTAAGCGTTTTTTCGGAAACTTGACCGTTTTTTAAATAAAAAATATTGTAATATTTGAGGGGTGGTTTCACCCCCTTGGAACTAGAATTTCAAAAAATCCCTTCATATCGAACCTCTACACCCTAGAGTCAACCTGCATCCCAAAATTGAGCTTCTTACGTTGAGTGGTTTGAGCAGGATCGTGATTAATCAGTATGTCTTAAGGATTTTATATATTAGTATAGATTAAATTATGATTTTTCTTCTACAAAAGAATCTTGGACGTTTCGCGCGATACAGCGTTTTGTAGTAATAATAGTACATAGTAGTAGTACTGTCGGCCTAGACAAAACAAATTTGGCCCACCGACACCCGAAACAGACCGATTGTCAGCGTCTGGATACAGAGAGATCCACGGCTCGTTTCCAGACCGTCTGGCATTCGCCGGCCACACCTGGCTGACCTTTTCCACAGCGATTCGGGATTAGACGACACGCAGTTGTCCGCCTATTATTTCGCGGCTATTCGTTTACTAGCATTGCCAGAAGTCCAGACGCGAGGAATTTCGGAGAAAATTACAAGAAATAATAGGAAGAATGATTTAGAATATTCTGTCGCCAACAATACAACCATAATTGGTGCAGATTTCGTTCAGATCAATAAAAAAAGTACCGTATGATCGAGAAAAAACGGCGTCCAGTTGGCTGGGAAATGACGATCGATGACATATCCCATGTAATTCTATACTAATATATAAAATCCTGACTGACTCACTGATTAATCACGATCCTGCTCAAACCACTCAACGTAAAAAGCTCAATTTTTGCACACAGGTTGATTCTAGGGTGTAGAGGTTCGATAAGAAAGGATTTTTCGAAATTCCAGTTCCAAGGGGGTGAAATTACCCCTCAAATTTTACAATATTTTTTTATTTAAAAAACGGTCAAGTTTCCGAAAAAACGCTTAAACCCGTATATTTTATTTTGTTTTTTACATATTTTAAGAGTTTTTAAAAATGTATACATACAAAAAAAAATCTGGTCATTGATTAATCACGATCCTGCTCAAACCACTCAACGTAAAAAGCTCAATTTTTGCACACAGGTTGATTCTAGGGTGTAGAGGTTCGACAAGAACGGATTTTTCGAAATTCCAGTTCCAAGGGGGTGAAACCACCACTCAAATTTTACAATATTTTTACTTAAAAAACGGTCCGTTTCCAAAAGTTTCCAAAAAAACGCTTAAACACGTATATTTTATTTTGTTTTTTTACATATTTTAAGAGTTTTTAAAAATGTATACATACAAAAATCTGGTCATTGATTAATCACGATCCCGCTTAAAGCGCTTGACGTAAAAAGCTGATTTTTGGAAAACGGATTGAGTTTAGGGTGTACCTAGAGGTTCGATAAGAAGGGATTTTTCGAAACTCGAATTCTAATGGGGTGAAACCACCCCTCAAATATCAGAATATTTTTTATTTAGAGAGTTTTTCGCAAAACCTCTTAAACACGTATATTTTATTTTGTTGTTTTACAAACAAAATTTATTCGAAAAATTAGATTAGCTGATTGGTCCATTTCACGATGAGGGAAATAAACATGTAAAATTTCTTGCCTGATGTAAAAATCCCTAATTATTTCGTATAGCTATCTGAAACAAACTCCTTTTTATTTTGCACTCCGCAAATAGACACGAAATGTCAATTATCCAGCGACATGCCGGCAGATTTCTGGAATAGTTCTTCAGCTCTAAATGCATCCACAGAGCGAATAAAAAGCATCGGAGGCCCAAAGGAAAAAACACAGAAATAAATAATAGCACTCCAAACGAAATTTATCGTTTCTATTCTGAGCCAGAGCCTTTTTCTCTTGGATATGTAGGATTGTTAAGGAGGTAATTTTAGCACCTCTGGATAGTACTTGTGTGCTTGGAAAGCTTAAACGTTTTTTGCCAGGTTTGAAAATTAAACTGGCAATTGTGCTGCGATGAAAGATTTTTAGCACAAGTGACAAAGAAAAAAGATTTTGTGTGTCCGTTTAAGCTAGTTTTATTTAAATTATTATAGGTGGTACAAATCGATCGAAAAAAAAACAGCGTCATGGTAGCATTTGAAACGAAAGTCAAAATAAAAATCCAGATGATAACACATGTTTTGAATGATCGGTTCTCATTCCAAACGCCGGTATAACGCCCGTTATTTGATAAACAATAGTTTGGATGAAAAAAAAATACAGTTGCTCTTACATAATGTATTACAAAATATGTAGATACTAAATATATTACAAAATGATGCTGTAGATACTAATTGAAAAACTCTCTGCAGCTTCCTTGTACGTCTCTTATTTGGTTTCCAGGACAAGGAAAATTGGGAACGCTTGCGATACCGAATGCCACCCCTTGGTTTGGAGGAACATTCTAATATAAAAGAAATAAAAATTACGGATAATAAATTACGGAATACACGGATGAATCTATTGTTATGATGAAGTACTCACCAATCCAGGATATTGTGGTGGGATTTTAGTTCTGTCTTCTGAATAATTTACACTTGCCATGTGCGGATATGCAACACTTGGGGATATGCTTGCTGGACCATTCTAATATAAATGAAATGAAGTATAGCAATATTTATCAGTAATATAAGCAGTTTTGTGTACATTTCTTTCATTCTTTTTTAAGGATTCTAAAATATTTAGAGCAGAGCATTTAAATCTTATTTTATTAATTTTGCTGTCTCTCTTTGTGTTACTATTTCTACATTATTTTCTATGATTTTATAGGATAAGCAAAAACACTTTTCTGAATACAAATACACAAATAAAGAGAATGAATCTATTCTTATGGTCAAGTACTCACCAATCCAGGTAATTGTGGTGGGATCGTTCCTTCTGGATAATTTATGATATATATAACAACACTTGCTTCAATAAACAGAAACGAGACAGTTAAAAACAAGACTTTTTCAAAAACCATCATTTTCTTTCTGTAGAATGTTGGCTGCCGATGGTGAATATAACAGAAAGAGCTTCAGGTTTTGTCTGAAGGTCTGCCACTTGCGGAGAATCCTTTTATACAAAGATTTCTGTACAGTATTTTGCATAAATTTCAATTGCAAATACGATAATAAGGTGTGTTTGCAAAATTGTTATTATACAAAAATAAATAAATTATATATCTCAAATTTATTTTCAGTACCTTTAAAAAAATATATGAAACGTAGCAAATTTAATAATAATTGATCCACCAAGAGAGGAAGCATATCCTAGATACAGTGTTGGCCTATCTGAAATATATTTGAAATCAATAAAAATAATTTAAACTATATTTGATCAATTCAATATTACAGAATGGTTCAAAACATTGATTTTTGAAGCACACAGTTTTATTAAATGGTTCATTTTAATATCCCATTATTCGGCTTATAGCACTGCACGTACTACAGGGTGTTTTCCCGACCTCCACTTCAATCGTTTAATGTTTTAATACGCCAGTACTACCTCGACCAGTCTGAAATCGCCAGAACGTGACTTCGATGGCACAGAGAAGCGCAGCATCTTCGGCGGCAGCGGTCGACCTTGCCGGTACCATCGCGGGTACTCCCTCTCGATCTCCCGTTTGATTACTGTATGATTAAAATACGGACGAGAGAGAATGAGAATGGCATGGGACCCGGTTTTTGATGAAGGTACAGTGTTGCCAACCGAGCTGCAAGCTCTCAGAAAAAATAAGTCTTTGACTTAAATCATTTTAATGACTTAAATTTCGAAAGCTGACTTAAGACTTGAAATTTAAGTCATTTTCAAAATGACTTGTGATTTAAGTTTTTATTCCGAAATAGAAAAAGATTTAAGTCATTAAAAAAAATTAGGAATAAATAAAACATACTTCTACCAACTTTAGTTGAGTACAGTTGTTGGAGAACGATAAATTGGAGTACCAGCATCTGACTTTTTGTTGTTTTATGTAACTAAAGTTGGTAATTTGTGTTTTATTTAAAGTTATATATGTATTTGAATCATGTTAAGAAATGAAAGTAAATAATAAAGCGCCTCTCGTGTTTGTTCGCACTCAAAAAATTTCAATTAATGCCTGTATGTATTTTTAATATATTTTTTAAATTTACATTTTTTAATTGTAAATTAATATATTACATTTAAATGGAATATATTACATAACAATTATGTCAATTACAGGATTACAAGCTTGTTTTCTAACATTTTTTAAATAAAACGAATTATAAAATATCAATATATGTATATTTGTCGTAGGTATGAAAAAGTAAAACAACAAGTGCACTTTTAATTTCCATGTTCATTATCATGAAAAAATGAATTTTAGTATAAGACATTATGTATTTTTTATCCTTACTTGTGTTATTGTTCAATAAAATTTGTTATTAAATAGTAGTGTTTATTGCTCTAAAAATCTGCAGTATGACGAAAATCTAGAAAACACCGCGCCGATAACAAAAAACGGCCTTGGTTAAAGAGGATCCTCGGCTATCGACCTGGATATCAAACTTCAGCCCGTACTATTTGTTGTTTATCGGCCTTATTACGTTAATAACTATAACTTTGATTTTAACACGATTTTAACTACTTTTGACAACAACTAACTTTTTGTTATCAAGATGACATTTTAGACGGCAACTGACATATATGTCATAATATTTGAATCTTAAATATGTATGTAATATAATTTAAATTACTATAATGCAACTTTATACTAAGAAAACATTTATACATTCACAAAATACAACAAAGTCTAATAATAGGTATAGTTTGAAAACAATGAATATTGAATTAAAATTGAAAAAGTTAAGTGCGACCCCTTGTGTCAAAATTAGATGATTAAATTTTCGCAATTTTTACACCATTTGATGACCGGTGGCGCCTCTAGTGTTTGTTCGGGCGGTTGGGCTTTTACTCCCGCTTATGGCCATTAAAGAAAAAGTTCTAAAGGAGGATGTTTTGTGCTACCTTTTTTTTATGATGGCTCTGCTACAAGGCAACCGCCGCTACTTAACATTTGACAATTTTATAAAGGTTAGAATTAATAAAAAGAAAAGATAAGAAAAACGTCAAATCGGAATGTTGTGAGTGTCACGTTGACAAATGTAAAGTAAATGCAAAGTGTGCTTTATCATAATTCACTGTTATCAGCTGTTATATTTCACTCTATTACAAATATAGGCACCGTATTCCTTCAGCTAGGAAGTAGAATATTGATTTACTATTAAGTGGTCGTGGACAAAAACTCTTTATTATCTATTATGCGCTCTTATCCTAATGAGCTTAATTTTTCCAAAACTAAGCATTTTTATGATATAATCATCCTTCTAAAAATTTAGCAAAACATGTTTTCTCCTCTAACAAGTCAAACACCTGCCCCATACTCATTACAACTGCAAACACGCTACCAAACAAATCATCTTCGCCCCAGTTCAAAATTATTACCCATGAACCTGCGTAATGAGCAGAAAATACACCCTACCAGCCTGAAATTCCGAACCCCTTTAACGCCCGAGACCTATAATTCGGCTCCGAGCAACCCTTTTATTTTTTCCACCCCCCAAATTACCAAAACTAATAACGTTTAGTGACTGACTGACCTCCATTTCTATGATTTTATCCGTTTCTTAATTTTTACAGGTGTTTTCTACTTGATGATTGTAAAATGATGGTAACCAGTGGCGTATCCAGCTTTTTTTCTGTACGTTTTATTAATTTATGTAAATCGCAGTAGTAGTTGATTTTACACATTCATATTTATAAATGTGTAATATGAAGAAACTAGTGTGTACCCGAAATAATCATTTGTGATGGTGATGAAAAAGCAAAGCAAGAATTTTCGTTAACATACAAACTGGATAAAATTTTCTCACATTTATGTCAGAATGAAAAAAAAACAATCCAGAAATACCTTCTTATCGAATCTCTACACCTCACAGTCAATCCGTTTGCCAAAAATCAGCTTTAAACGTCAAGCAGTTTAAGCAGAATCGTGATTACTCAATGGTCATATTTTATGAAACACCCTGTATACATTTTTAAAAAATCTTAAAATATGTAAAGCAACAAAATAAAATATACGCGTTGAAGAGTTTTTCCGAAAAACTCACCGGTTTTACCCCCTTAGAATTCGGGTTTCGAAAAATCCCTTCTTATCGAACCTATATACCCTAATGTCAATCCGTTTTCCAAAAATCAGCTTTTTACGTCAAGCGCTTTAAGCAGGTTAGTGATTAATGAATGACCAGATTTTTCGAAACACCCTGTATACTTTTTTAAAAACTCTTAAAATATGTAAAAAAAAAACAAAATAAAATATACGTGTTTAAGCGTTTTTTCGGAAACTTGACCGTTTTTTAAAAAAAAATATTGTAAAATTTGAGGGGTGGTTTCACCCCCTTGGAACTGGAATTTCGAAAAATCCCTTCTTATCGAACCTTTACATCCTAGAATCAACCTGTTTGCCAAAATTGAGCTTCTTACGTTGAGTGGTTTGAGCAGGATCGTGATTAATCAGTGAGTCAGTCGGTCACTTAAGGATTTTATATATTAGTATAGATGAAGTTTTTTTCTTAGAAGAGGTCCAAGAATCACCTCCTTAAAATTAGCATGTCATTAAGGGACACCCTGTATACTTATATTTCTTGATTATGAGAAAAATAGACCTAAATAACATTGCTGAGTTCAGCGTTTTTCACAGTTCACAGTAAGCTACGCTTGTTCAACTGGGCATAATTTTTTCTTTTGAAATAATAATTTCTCATAAAAAATCTCGTTGCTTCTTGACCTGGCGTGTTGGTACCGTCACTGGCCCACCCTAACCCGAAATTAGGCGCAGGCCGGGAGCAGGTGCCTCGGGGAGCTCCATCAAAAAGCCACCGCACCGAGGACAGGTGCAAGTGAAAAAGAAGAAGAAGCAGCAGCCAAGGTAGAAAGGAGAAGAAGGATAGAATGAGTGTTTATATCGGTCTGTGGGCCGATGTCGATGCCGCCACGATTTACGCCCGCGAAGACAACAAGATTGATTTACAATGACGATAGAGGGACAAAAAATATATACAGGGTGTGTCTTAATGATCTGGTAAAGTTTAAGGATGATTCTTGGATATATTCTAAGAAAAAAACTTCAAAAGCCCAATTTTCTTTTTCCTCATTAAGAATGTACAAATCAAATCAATCAAAAACATACAGAATGTAGAAAACTGCCAAGTCTCGCAACACAATTCTTCCACTATAAAAAGTTGTCAAAACCAAGTCAGTTTATTTTATTTAGTCTCTGTTTAAACACCTATTCAACAATTTTGTTACAAATTGTTAGTATCAATATTAGTTATCTTTATTTCTGTAATAATTATAATTACTTGGCAATTGCCCCCCCACAGCACCATAATAATTATAAAAGAATAATCTACGATCTCGATTACTAGATAAATCTAAACAGTGCCTTTAAAAATAAAGTTTCTTCAGTAGAATAGAATATCACATCGGAAATCTTAAAGATGTGTAAGAACTTTAGGATTTAAGAAGATGTTCAAATATTCCTCCATCGACTGCTAGACAATAACCCAGGCGAACATAAAATTCTTTTCTTACATTTGCTAGTTGGTAAACTGAAATTCTATTGCATTCGGCAGAAATAGCATTTTTTAACTCGTCTAGATTCGGGTATTTTTTATCCTTGTATATCCTGTTTTTTAAATGGCCCCAGAGAAAGAAATCATTTGGCGAAATATCAAGAGACCTTGCTGGCCAATTTACTGTATGATTTAGGCCAATAACGGTTCCGATAAAACTATTGTCTAAATATTCCCGAACAGCCAGGGTACTACGTGCCGCGGGCAGCCACCCATTTGGTACCAAACTTCCTGATTTTTCCTGGCGGCATCATGTAAAGCAGGTAAAATATGATTTCCGAGTAGTTCCAAATAATATTCTGCATTTAAATTTCGCGTAAGAAATAATGGCCCGATAATATTGTGTCCGAATATCCCTGCCCAAACATTTACTTTCTGTGGATATTGCGTCCTTGTTTCGACAAAC